AAAAAGTTTAACACATAGAGGTGGTACCCTCAGGTGTCCCTCTGGGAAACTTTGTATGGTAGTTTCTGTGCAGTTTTTTTAGCAGAAAAGTTTCAAATAGCAAAAAAACTTATCTTTAGCATTTTATTGTTTTGAGATCTGGTTACCAAGTGGCTCTTGGAAGAAAGAAATACCGGCCATCCCAGCTCTCACGTGGGACTTTTGAATCAAGGTTAAAAGTTCTCAGATATCATTGCTGATTGCTTGACCATATTCACATATCTGGCTTAAGTTCAGAAGATTTTGTTTGCCAGGAATTTTTTTTTTTAATTAGTACTATTTACGTCAATAGCAGTATTGTGACATGAACAGTGCTATTTCTTGCTCCATAGTTTTGTTTCTCTAGCAGGACTGTCAGCTGCCTGTGTAGGTTCAGGTTATGTCTTATGAGAGCAATGCCGGGCACACAGTAGGCCCTTAATAACAAACACATCCTCAGGCAGAGTGAATCTCTAATATTCTAATACCACTTACTTTTCCCACTCTTAATTGTAGGACTGAATCCAGGCTGACATTGGAAACTCTGAATTTTATGACATATTTTTCCTTTGACAAGGTGATCACTTTAATGATTCAAACTAGAATAATAAAGTACAGTACAAATCTCCTAATCCAACTTAGAAACTACAGCGTTTCACACTGTATTAACGCTCTATTACTAGAACATCATCAGGCCATAATGACTAATAAGGAAGGCATTTCCTGGCAGCTAACGACCAGCACAGGGGAGCTGACTCCTGACACAAGGCCAGCAGCCCACGGCCCAGCTGGCTGCTCCCAAAACCGGACATGCCGAGCCTCCCTCAGAGGTTACGGTGTGTTTATTTATAAACTGTTAGTATAGGAACAAGGGGAGGAAAATGAAGTCATGGTTAGGTGCTGTTCAGTGGGAAGTATCCGCAGGTGTGTTATGGCGCTTAGCCGTTGTAATTGGACGCCCCAGATTTTTCTTCCTCTGCCTGGGTGACAGCTAGTCAACACTGAAGACTTTGAAAGTGGAATGAAGTCTGCTTCTGGAAGTGCTCAAGCTGTATAAAGGTAAGACCGGCAGCAACAATGCAGCTGGCACTTAGCATTGACAGGGCGCCAAGGCCCATGCACTAGTGGGAAAGAACCCTCCTGCCAATGCAGGAGCTGGAAGAGGCTCAGGTTCCATCTCTGGATCAGGAAGATCCCCTGGAATAGGAAATGGCAACCCACTCCAGTATTCTTGTCTGGAGAATCCCATGCAGAGGAGCCTGGCCGGCCATAGTCTGTGGAGTCGCAAAGAGTCAGAGCATGCACGCAATGGATGTCAATGAAGAACTCTTTGAATTGGTGGACGGATTCAGCAGAGTGGCTCTAAACCACAGGAAGGAACACGCACAGGTGGGCGAAAGCAGCTTGCCCCAGATTCATAAGTAGTCCGCAGCGGAGCTTGGATTTAAGGCAGTGAAGTCCACCTCCAAATGCCTTAAGGCGAACCGCTATTCTGCATTATCCCATCTTCAAAACAGAACAGAAACTATTAACAAAGGATGAAAACCCAAAAATCTCACATGCCCTACACCATATTATGTATATATAAGATCATCTCAGATTTTTCAATAAAAAGTATTTGGAAGTTGTAAAAATGTTCTTCACTTATGTAACACCCAACACGTAAGACAAAATAAACAATTTTTTAAATTTAAAAAGCACATCATCGATGAGGCTGTTTCCATAATCTATGACAATTCTGCAAGGTGTTTTCATCTCACCATGATAGCTTTTCCAGAAACTTACAGTGACAATTTATAAGTAGGGATAACGAGGAGAGAGACATACGGGACACAGGGCCGCTTCCTTTCCAGAAAGATCTCCCTTGCTGTCTGAAAACGTGACTCTTCTTCTAGCAGTGCCGTCCACTTATTGGCAATTGGCTTAACAAATTCCAATTACTGAAATAAAAGCGCCCCCAGAGAGGCAGGATGGTTTCCTGTAGTGCCTTGCATCAAGTTAAAAGTGGTTCCAGTGAGCTTTCTTTTAGTATCTAGCTAGTTGTAAGATATTGCCATGGGCTTGTCTAGTTGTAAACGATGTTTGGGACATGACTTGGGGCTGAGCTATTTCGGAACATGAGAAGCTGTCTGGTCTTAGCTGTTGTGCCACCAGACCCCAGGGTGCCTCCCCCAGGACCGGAAGGTGGTGGGGACCAAGAAAGGAGATGGGGAGAGTCTCTCAGGTGGGCAGCATCGTGGCCTCCAGGTGCATTTTCTTTTGAGATTCAAGATATTCAGACCCTTCTCTACTCTTATATAGTTGAAGCATTTTTTTGATTGCTTTACAATATTGTGTCAGTTTCCGGTGTACAACACAGTGATTCAGTTATACACACACACACACACACACACACACATACACACCAATCTAGACAGCGTATTAAAAAGCAGAGACATTACTTTGCTAACAAAGGTCCATCTAGTCAAGGCTATGGTTTTTCCAGTAGTCATCTATGGATGTGAGAGTTTGACTATAAGGAAAGCTGAGCACTGAAGAATTGATACTTTTGAACTGTGGTGTTGGAGGAGACTCTTGAGAATCCTTTGGACAGCAAGGAGATCCAACCAGTCCATCCTAAAGGAAATCAGTCCTAAATATTCATTGGAAGGACTGATGCTGAAGCTGAAACTCCAATACTTTGGCCACCTGATGTGAAGAACTGATTCATTGGAAAGGACCCTGATGCTGGGAAAGATTGAAGGTGGGAGGAGAAGGGGATGACAGAGGATGAGATGGTTGGATGGCATCACTGACTCAATGGACAAGAGTTTGAGTAAGCTCTGGGAGTCGGTGATGGACAGGGAGGCCTGGAGTGCTACAGTCCATGGGGTCGCAAAGAGTCGGACGTGACTGAGCGACTGAACTGAACAGAACACACAAATATGCATATATATTCATATATACATATATAAACACATATAGATACTATGTATAGGTATATACTACATATAGTAAGTCATTCAGTCATGCCAGCTCGTCGTGACCCCAGGGACTGCAGCCCTCCAGGTTTCTCTTGTCCTTGGGATTCTCCAGCTAAGAATACTGGAATGGGTTGCCATCTCCTTCTCCAGGGGACCTTCCCAACCCAGAGAGCAAACCCAGGTCTCCTGCATTGCAGCCAGATTCTTTACCATCTGAGCCACCAGGGAAGCCCCATATAGTATGTATAGTATGTATCTATATATATTTATATTGTTGTTATTCAGTTGCATGAACATACTACATGTTGTATGTATCAGTTCAGTTCAGTAGCTCAGTCGTGTCTGACTCTTTGCAACCCCATGGACTGCAGCAGGCCAGGTTTCCTTGTCCAGTACCAACTCCCGGAGCTTGCTTAAACTCTTGTCCATTGAGTCAGTGATGCCATGCAACCATCTCATCCTCTGTCATCCCCTTCTCTTCCTGCCTTCAATCTTTCCCAGCATCAGGGTTTTTTCCAATGAGTCAGTTCTTTGCATCAGGAGGCCAAAGTATTGGAGTTTCAGCTTCAGCATCAGTCCTTCCAGTGAATACTCAGGACTGATTTCCTTTAGGATGGCCTGGTTGGATCTCCTTGCAGTCCAAGGGACTCTCAAGAGTTTTAAACACCAGAGTTTGAAAGCATCAGTTCTTTGGTACTCAGCTTTCATTATAGTCCAACTATCACATCCATACACAACTACTGGAAAAACCATAGTTTCGACTAGACAGACCTTTGTTGGCAAAGTAACATCTCTGCTTTTTAATATCTTGTCTAGGTTGGTCATAGTTTTTCTTCCAAGGAGCAAGCATCTTTTAATTTCATGCCTGCAATCACCATCTGAGGTGATTTTGGAGCCCAGAAAAATAAAGTCTGTCACTGTTTCCATTGTTTCCCCATTTAGTTGCCATGAAGTGATGGGACCAGGTGCCATGATCTTCATTTTATGAATGTTGCATTTAAGCCAACTTTCTCACTCTCCTCTATCACTTTCATCAAGAGGCTCTTTAATTCCTCTTCACTTTCTGCCATAAGGGTGGTGTCTTCTGCATATTTGAGGTTATTGATATTTCTCCTGGCAATCTTGATTCCAGCTTGTGCTTCATCCAGCCTGACATTTCTCATGATGCACTCTGTATAGAAGTTAAATAAACAGGGTGACAATATATAGCCTTGACGTTCTCCTTTCCCAATTTTGAACCAGTCTGTTGTTCCATGTCCAGTTCTGAGTGCCGCTTCTTGACCTGAAGACAGATATATGTATGTAGTATATATCTATGTATAGTATATGTGTGTATTTGTATATCATATATATGTACAGTGACTAAACAGGAAAAATATATGTTTGTATATATATATATATATATTCTTTTTCATATTGTTTTCCCTTATGAGTTATTACAAGATATTTAGCATAATTCCCTGTACTATGCAGTAGATCCTTGTTGATTATCTGTTTTATATATAGTCATGTGTATATGTTAATCCCAAACTCCTAATTTATTTCTCCCTCCAGATACATTTGAAAGCAGGATTTATGTCTCCTCCAGACTCTAAGCCCTGGAAGCAGGTGACGGCAGGGCCACTGGGCTGGACGGTCTCCTGCACCTTGGCCTGGTGTCGCTGGGACAGAGCCAAAGCCAGGCCCCCCGCGGTGCGCTCTGCCACCTGCCACCTGCTCCAGCCCGTCGGGTGTCCTCAGCTGAGCTGCTCTCAGGCCCGGAATTGCTGCCAGCTGGGCTCAGCACCTGAGGAGCTGCGTTGCCCTTTCTCTGTGTCTGGGCCTTATTTTATTGCATTTAAAACTTTCAGAACAGCTCAGAGCTGTCTACAATACGGCACGGGTTTTTTGTTTTTTTTTTAACCTAAATGGGGCATAAGGTTTATATGGGTCTTTGTATTTTCTGGTGAATTCAAGCACAGAGGAGCGCCTGACTTAATAACGTCTCAGCTGTGGGGCTGCTCCTCATCAGTTCCTCACCTCTGCTCTGCCATCCCGTACCTGGTGGACGAAGGTCATGGGCACATTCCTGCCTGTAGATGCCCTGGATTTAAGAACAAACATTAGAGGTGACTCGTGAAGCCGACAGCAGCTGTGGGGACAGTGGCGTTGCTCACTGTGGTGACAGAGCAGACAGAGGCCATGACCCGCAGGCAACTTCTCAGCGGCGTGATTGTAGCACCATCATTTTCTTTAAGGAAATGCACTCACTTCTTGTGAGTGGGTTACAGGATCATCTTCAAACCCACCCTTATTTTCCATTTTTTACATGACTAGAAAACATTTTAAAAATATGCTAGTTATTTAGATACCATATGAGGTAGTGACAAGTTAAAACAAGTTCCTTTCCGCACTTCTCCCAAAAGATAGTCACTCCAGGCATGCTCTGACTCACCATTCGCGATCACTGTGCTAGCAAGCTCGAAGGCCAATGCCAGACCTGCTGCGTCACTTCTACGTGAGACAGTGTAACTGAACCCAGAAGTGTTCAGTTCGGGGGTGGTCATTGCATAGACGGAGCTGTGTCCCCTCACAAAATACATGTTAAACCCCCAGGACCTCAGAATGTGGCTGTGCTTGGAAAAGTGAAAGTGTGAGTTGCTCAGTCGTGTCCGACTCTTTGCGACCCCATGGACTGCAGCCCAGCAGGCTCCTCCGTCCACGGGATTCTCCAGGCAAGAGCACTGGGGCGGGCAGCCCTGTCCTTCTCTGGGGGATCTTCCCAACCCAAGGATCAAACCCAGGTGCCCCGCATTGCAGGCAGACTCTTTACTGCCTGAGCCACCACGAAGCCTTGTTCTGAAGGCCTTGTTTGCCTGGCAGTGAGGCCTTTAAAGGGGTGTTTAAGATGAACTAGGTCCTCTGGGGACGCCCGAATCTAATGGGCCTGGTGTCTAGGAGAAGAGGCTGGGGGGACACAGGGCACAGAGGAGAGGGCCTGCGAGGACACAGCGGGCGATGACGGCCCCCGAGCCAGGGAGGGAAGCCTCTGAGGAAAGCAGTCCTGCAGAGAGCTCGACCTCGAAGATCTAGCCTCCGGAACTGTGAAACCCACTTTGCTGCAGCTTCAGTTACCTAATCTGTGCTGCGTTGCTATGAAAGCTCTAACAAACTATACAGTCATTGAATCTCAGTGATTTAACTTTCCTATTGTCAGATTTCTGTTCTAGATTGATCATAATTTACTGAAAAAGTGTCTGGATTGAGACTCAAACTATGCATGTTTTATTCATAGTTTCCTTGTTGATTTCTTTTGTAAACAAAAACCTTCTCTGAACCTAAATCACCTCCCCTGTAAAATCAGAGATTTGACTCAGTTTGTCTCCCTTTCCTGCTTTGACCAGAACAACTCCACTTTTATTAATATTTTATATTGTGGTCTTATGTAAAATTTCATTTGAAAAAGATGACAGATGACTTAAGACATTTTTGAAAACCGCTGAGCTAAAGGCTCTTGAAGACCACAGCCAAGTTCTACAAGTCATCGTGCCAGCCATTGCCTCTAATTTCATTGTCACATGTTGAGTGTCAGTGATTTATTCTGAAATGTATAAAATGTGCTTTGTGAGTCCGTGATAGAACAAACACTACTTAAGTGACTTGAGCCCCTTATATCCACGGAGGACTTTACTTCAGAGTTGGTAAATAGGTATTTTATAATTAGCAAATAAATGGAAATTAGGTTCTATAAAAGTCCCTCTTCCCTTCATGACTAATTCAAGATAAATCCGTAGGGCTGGATCTCATTTATTACGTGCTTTCATGTTTAAAAAGCCCTGTGGGCAGGGCAGGTCTTATAGGGACAGTTTACATTTGTGAAAACCATTTATTCTATGACCTTCTGGATTTAGTGGCCTTAAAGCAAAATGCAAATGTCTGTTCCTGTAGCTAGTGTTCTTACCGATTTCCTGAACCTGTGAAGAGTCATAAAATCTAATATTCTAGGGGCTTCTTGATTCTCCTTCAGTATGTTTAGGTGTGGCTAGGGTTGCTTTATATTTTAAGCACTTATACCAAGTGGTCCTGCTATGGCGTGAGGTTGGTTCTGAAGAATCTATACAGTGTTAGTCACTCAGTTGTGTCCATCTCTTTGCAACCCCATAGACTGTAGCCCTCCAGTCTCCTCTGTCCATGGAATTCTCCAGGGAAGAATACTAGAGTGGGTAGCCATTCTCTTCTCCAGGGGATCTTCCTGACCCAGAGATTGAGCCCAGGTCTCCTGTACTACAGGAGGGTTCTTTACCGTCTGAGGCACCAGGGAAGCCTGAGGAATCTGTGCATTTACACAAAGCTGGTCATGGGGTGGGATGGGGTAGGGAGGTGAGAGAAGATCAGAAAAACTTTCTCCTGGGGTTGGAGGGGGCAGTGAGGTACAGAAAGGGAAGTGAGGAGGAAAGAAAATAACATTGTGATCAGTAGGTGCCCTATATGTGAACGAGTTCTGTCCCAAGAGCATGTTCATAGGTCCAATTTGTGTGTAAGTCCAACAAAGTTAGTCTGCTGCTGCTGCTAAGTCACTTCAGTGGTGTCCGACTCTGTGCGACCCCATAGACGGCAGCCCACCAGGCTCCCCCGTCCCTGGGATTCTCCAGGCAAGGACACTGGAGTGGGTTGCCATTTCCTTCTCCAATGCGTGAAAGTTAGTCTAGGTACCCATTGACACAGTTGGCTATATAATTCTGGATTGTAACAGGTCTGTAATACTTGTCACACATGTAATACATAAAAAGCGAACACACAAAACACAGGCATTTTTTAATGTCACGGTGTAGCACCTTGAGAAGTTCAGCAGTACAGAACAATAGCTGGAATGCAGGGGCTGGAATCGAGTGAACAGGCAAGAAGAGTTAGTGACCGGAGGTGGGAGGGGGAGGAGACGGTGGGACTGAAGGGTCATCAGCAACGGGAGACGGGGGGCAAGCCACGATGTCACTCATGCGTGACGTTGGTGGAACACATATTCCCATCTTTGAAAATTGGAAACTTGAAGGTTCCTATGTAGGAGATGCACTGTAGAAGCAAACCCCTGATTATCCAATATTTTGACCTGAATTATTTTATTTATTAATATCACTCTGTGCTGAATTTTACAAAGAACACTGAGCACTGAGGTTCAAATGAAGATTCCATGGAGTGATGCCTCCTCAAACAAATCTTCCTTGAAACATGTTCCTCCAAAGGAGAGCTGATGTTCAGAGATTTTAAACTTGCTGTTTGGGGCTCTGGTTCTAGCCATTGAGTTGCTGAGATGCAGCTGCGAACCATCCTATCAGACAGTCAAGAGATGTTTTCAGTAATTAATGTATAACTGTATTCCTTTTAAATTTCTTACTCTGTCAAATTCTAGACATCTAGCAATCGTGGAATGAGTCAGAATTCCCTTTGGGCAGGAAGTGTTCTGTGCTGATTGAGTTCGAGCTAAAGGGAAGCCCCCTCGCACATGGAAAGGCGGCTGACAGGGTCACCTCCTGGGTGGCAGGGCGACCACCACCCTCAGCCCAGAGCAGCACAGTTGCTGTTTACCGTTCACAACCAGCATCTATCATGTGGGGTGCAAGCAAGAAGTAAGGGAGGAGTAATGAATCTGTCCGCTGCACCCTTGAAACTAATATAAGGTGGTATGGTAATCATGGCTAAAGGCATGGAAATCATAACTCAGTAAAAAATAATTCAGATAGATTTTTTTTTTTTAATCTCGCCTCCTCTCCACCAAGCATTCAAATCCAGATTCCCTGTCAATTATAAACATTTCCATCTCTCTTCTTAGCTCTGTTCTCTTCCTTAGCAATTTTTTGCCCATATTTTTCTCATCCATAAGTATGTGCTGTGCTGTGCGAAGTCACTTCAGTCGTGTCTGGCTCTGTGTGACCCCATGGACTGTAGCCCACCAGGCTACAATCTGTGAGGTTCTCCAGGCAGGAACACTGGAGTGAGTTGCTATGTCCTCCTCCTGGGGATCGCCCCAACCCAGGGACTGAACCTGCGTCTCTTGCGGCTCCTGTATCTTTCCTGCTGAGCCACCGGGGAAGCCCGTCCATAAGCACGTTCTTCGATTATTTGGTCTAGAAACCTCCATCCTGTCAACAGAGCTGCTTCTGAGCGAGCCTCTGCTTTTGGAGAAGCTCCTTGCTTTGCCCCCAGGAGGTGTGTCATTTACCCTGTGGATCATCCCCGACAGCCCAGCCCTGCGACTCAGGAGAAGGCTGAGAGGCTCTGCTCCCCCAACCTCATCCCTGCCTCCTGGCTGTGTCTTGCCCACAGTTTCTGGGTTGTTATTTGTCAGTAAGTCTCTGGGAAAGAAGGGCTCAGCATTCTGCGCCCCTTGTCGCACTGGGGATCAAAAAAAAGAGTAACTGACAAAAAATATTACAGTATCAATGGCTCGAGAAAACAATGATTATTTTCCCATTATGCAAAAGCTGTTGTGTGAGATTTTTTAAATTTTTTAGCCAAGTGATTTTACTCTACAGACCAGAGCTCTGATGGATGAACATACTATGTTCTACTTCATCCAAGTCACACTGATGTCTTTATGTATTTAAATTTTTTTCTTAAGTTCCCACTTTGCCATAATTTAATGGTGCTTTTCCCAGACTCTAAAGAATTTTAATTACCTTAGGCTGGAACCAGTAGAATTGTGAATGGGTTGAAATTCATGATTTTCTAGTCATCAGGTTTCCTATTTCTTCTAGGTCAGACTCTAAATATCTGTGTGCTCTTTCTGATTCCATGTTTAGTCTAGTATGCTTCTTAATCACGAGTTGTTGGCAGGCACATTTGGGGGGAAAAATAGTGGATCGTATTATGTCTTAGGCCATTTGGAGAAGTAGAAGAGATCGCCTCCACTTAGAATACATCAGCCATGTGCTGCTTGATAAAATTCTATAATTACTTAATCCCCATTTCAAAACAGTGTGAGCTTAGCTTCTCAATTTGCAAAATGAGAGCCTCTGCAGTTCAATTAGAAATTGAACCAACAATTCATTATATTTATTTACTGGCATGTTTTAATCTCAAAG